GGTCCATCTCATCCCGGTTCCTCGTGGCCCCTCCTGATGAAGTCTGAGGACCTCCAAGGATGGAGACCCACCGTGTCCCTGAGTCTCTTCCCCAGCTCCATCCCACCAGGGTGGGGGGACACCACGGGACCTCTGAGGGGTCCTTGCTCCAACCCAACCCCAACCCAGGTCCATCCCTGACCTCCAGGTTCCCTCTGGCCATTTCCAAATGAGATTTGGGTCTAAGGGGGCACCATATGGCTTGGGAGGCAATCTGGGAGATGTGGTGGGCAGTGGGGGAGATCAGGGAGTGATTTGGGAGATCTGAGGTGATTTGGGGATTCCAGGGATCAATTTGGGATACTGGGGGCAATTAAGAAGCTCAGGGAGGGCAATTAGGGATCCCCATGGTGACGCCCATCTCTGCGTCCCCACAGGCACCATGAAGTCCCCAGAGACGGATGCCCCCGAGAGCCTGGTGATGTCACCACCGCTGTCCCCATCACCTGCCCTGGGCTGGCCCTGGGGACTGCCCCCCACGCCCCCCCCGGGTACCCGGAAACCCTACAAGTGCACCGAATGCGGCAAGGCCTTTGGGCAGAGCTCACATCTGATGCGGCACCTGGGCACCCACACAGGCGAGAAGCCCTACAAGTGTGGCGCCTGCACCAAGAGCTTCACCCAGAACTCCAACCTCCTGCAGCACCAGCGCACTCACACCGGTGAGAAACCCTACGAGTGCAGTGCCTGCGGCAAACGTTTCGGCTGGAGCTCCAACCTCAGCCAGCACCGCCGTCTCCACAGCGGCCAGAAGCCCTTCCAGTGCGGCCAGTGTGGCAAATGCTTCGGCGAGAGCGCCCGTCTGCTCGAGCACCAGCGCACGCACACCGGTGAGAAGCCCTACCGCTGTCCCGATTGCCCCAAGACCTTCAGCCGCGGCTCCCACCCCGCTCGCCACCGCCGCCTCCACACAGCTGAGCGCGGACCTGGTCCAGCCCTGGCGATGCACCGGGGACTCTAAGGGGCTCCCCAAGGAGAGGGGAGGAGGTGGCGGAGCAGATGGTGCTTCTGTGGTGACCAGGGGGATGTGATTTGATCTGCTGGTGCCCATCGTCAACAGAAGGATTCATGGAGGATCCATGACATGGTCAGTGGCTGGGGACGGGGCTGCTACAGCCGTTCTGTGGTGGCCATGGGAACATGGTTTGGCCCTGTTGGCACCCATCATCAATACAAGGACTTCAGGAAGATTCATGATGTGTCCAGTGGTTGTTACAGCTGTTCTGTGATGGTCATGTGCCCGTGGGTTGGCCCTATTGGCACCCATCATCAACCCAAAGACTCCAGAAAAAGCCATGACATGGCCAGTGGCCGCTACAGCCCTTCTGTGGTGGCCACGGGGATGTAGTTTGGCCCAGTTGGTGCTCACGTCAATGTAAAGCCTTGGGGAGGACCCGTGGTGTGGCCAATGACTCTGGCCCAGAATGGTGGCCATGGGGACATGGTTTGGCTCCATCAATGCCCATTGTTGGCTTGTGGGGAACCTGGGTAGGCAAAAAGACATGGGACTGGGGACAAACCTGGACACGAAGACTTGGGGAGGACTCAAGATGTGGCCAACAGCTACCACAGCCCTTCTGTGGTAGCCATGGGGATATGGTTTGGCCTTTTTGGTGCCCATTATCAATGCCAGGACTTGTGAAGGGTCCATGACATAGCCAGTGGCTACTACAGCCCTTCTGTGGTGGCCACAGAGATGTGGTTTGGCCCCACTGGTGCCCACTGTCAACACAAAGACTTGAGGAGGGCCCATGACATAGCCAATGGGGACACGGGTTTGCCTCACTGGTGTCTCCCTTTGGCTCATGGAGAAGCCACTTGGGGAAAAAGAGATGGCACTGGGGCTGAAGGTGGACACAAAGACTTGGGAAGGACCCATGACATGGTCCAATGGCTACTACAACTCATCTGTGGTGGCCACGGGGATGTAGTTTGGTCCTGTTGGCACCCGCCATCATCAAAAAGACTTGGGGAGGCCTCATGACGTGGCCAGCAGCTACCACAGCACTTCCATGGTGGCTACAGGGACATAGTTTGGTCCCGCTGGCACCCGTCATCATCACAAAGACGTGGGGAGGCCCTGTGACATGGCCAATGGCTACCATGGCCCTTCTGTGGTGGCCACGTGCCCACAGCTGGCACCCACCATTCAGTAGGTGAGATGTCACGTGGGCAAGCAGCGAGGAGGGGGGGAATTTTTAGGGAAGAAAATCACAATAACGGCACTAAAACGGTCCTTAAAACCCACGTGTTGATTTTCACCACCCGCCGG